CAAAGGTGCTAGAAAGGAGGTGCCACGGAATAACCGATACCGTGTGTTTCGTCGTATGGACTGAGGTGACTAGCAACTTTGCCTACTTCTGCTTGTATCGAGTGACCTTTTGACTGTAGTCGGCATAATGTCCTTAATTCAATTTTAAGTGTGAATCAGCAAATATGTCCAAGTAAGCGAGTCTAACTACCGAAGGTTCGTCTGCTGGACGGTAGCAAAATTCCGTAACTACTCAAAGTGGAGGTTTTAAGTCATCGCGTGAACTAGAATAAAACCTGCATGTTTTCTTTCTGAACGATAGCTAGTCCACAGCGCGGAATATGAAACTGTTGTACGAACAAAATTTCTATAGGAAAGGATTCTAAAAGCGGCAAGTCATTCCAAAACCTCGAAGTTGTAGCACGAATTAGCCAAATTTGCCGAATCAGGAATCGAGGGCATCACGTTGACGATTTTGCTGTCAGGGTAAAATTTTGATCATCAAGAAAACTCAATGTTGAGAGTGAATGTCACTACGTGTTGCAGATCGTAGATGCGTGGAACAATGTGTCATAGGCTGACTGTCAGGCTGTCAATTCCCTGCCTCTGGCGGTGCCGATGTTGTTACTGAACAGAGGCACGCAAATGATGACGAACTACATAACGGTCACATCGGTCAGATTCAAAGGCTCCACCCAAGGCGAAAAAACAACGCGTCCCATGATGACAAACAGTGTTTCCTCCGCCAGTCATGAAACGTTCTGAAGACAGTCAACAGACTCAGACTTTCGACGAATGCAACGCGTCATACCCTAAAATCAGGCATCGTAAGCAGCACAAACAAACTGACTTGTTCACTGCAGTCAATAATGCAAAAGCTGGCTGGCCCCTCAAGCTTCCATGATCTCATTAGTCTGACAAACGAAGTTGACCTCTTTTTACTACCGACTCTACTGCGATGTCTTCATGCCAATGAGAGGACGCATTTCGCATATGACCGTACCACATTACCTTACGTCGTAAGCTCTGCACTCAACGTGGCAAGTCATCAGTTAGAAAGACTGGTTCAATCTATAGGCCGTATAATGACTTAACCTAAAACAAGGCACAAGTGGCGGTTTGAAACGAAATATTGAACCTATCGACCACTACACAACACAAGTAGTTCAAAGCATCAAAAACAAAAAAAACCGATCCTCGAATTTGATTCAGGTGTATTGAAATCATCGTTGGGGATAATAGAGCAGAGGTAAACAATAAACTGGTAGACACTCTTTACCGCTTTAAATCCGCAGTTGCAACTCCGAATCTGTTGTGCACCGTGAATTACTCAGAACTCTTGACTTCCAAAAGGTAAGAAAGAGATCAGCTTTTTCAGCAGTACTGCATACCGTAGCTGGCAGGTGGCAAAGCATTCGATTTATGTTAATTATCAGGACAATGTCACCTGCGCACTCTAAATCAGCAAGATATTTGGCTGAATATCTATGCATCCCTTTCAGAATGAGAAATCGCCTAAGCTCAGAACAGTACTAGGTCAGAAAAAAATCTTTTAAATAATGTTGAAAGTCATGCGAAAAGGGCCTGTTTATTCGTTATGAACGTCGCCGGTTTGTACTTAAAGCTTTTCAACACCTTTCATGTAAGACTCCGGCCCGGATCGAAGTCTGTTGCAATGCAGTTTCCATGTGGGAGAAGCCTTCTAGCTGAAATAAAAGGCTTCTGCCCAACCTATTTATTCAGGAGGGCAAACCTCCTTTTCTTAAATTGTATCTTTACTGAGGACGCCTAGGCCTAGAGGATAGTCATTCTTTACGTGGTCTTCCCAATTAACAACCATCGTGCGTCGAAGCCAGGGCCGCTGTATGCTCTTCAACCGTCGCTACTAGTCGGTCGCAAGAACGACCGTCTATACACTACACTGACCTGACCGAGGCTAGGCACGTCGAACTTCTACGCTAAAAATTACTCTGTTTTTCAAGCCAGATATTATATAAGTTACCAAAGACACTGAAAGAAAGAGATAATCCTCCATTCCACTGTAATTGAATGGTGCCGACGTTGCGGAAGATGCAATGGAGGGGTTTAGAGTGGCTGTCCACTTCCATAGTTCCATCCACTTGTTTTGCATTTGAGGAATTATTGCGCTTGGTTGCGTCATCGTAATTTGATTTCTGGGCATTACGCAAAAGGTCGGCTTTCGCAACTATTTTGCATATGGAAAACGTCAGACGATGAACAGAGATTTTTGCAGTATTTCAGAGGGTCACATAATCTGCGACAACAGGTCAGCAAGATATCGAATTGGACACTTCTGAATGGGTCTTACCTTAAGAATGGGGCTTGCGTCTTTAATCAGTTAAGCAATGTCTCGAAGTAGAAAGTCGAGAACAATGCTGAAAAACCAAAAGCGAAAATGCATCACGAAATACTCAGGGAACTTCAGAGTTAACAAGAAACCATTTAGCTTTCCTTAGAATTTCCTGCTGATATCTCTTTGAAAATGAAAACGATGTACTCAGGTATCTCATAACACTTCCAGATTTTCCGCATATCAGACGATGCGCTGAATCGAACGCAGCCTCAAACTCAATGAAAGTTGCAAACTACCACAACTGCAATCGTTGGCATTGCCCAGTGATTCTATAAATGAGGTAGTTTTGGCAGAGAACAAACGCCCCGTCCAGATACCTGCCTGACTCGGTGGAAACTTCTGATCAGCTCCCGACCTCTGCCTGACCATGGCGATTAAGGAAAACAGTCTCCCAGGAATGGACAATAGCATGACAAGAGTATGACAATTTCAGCGCACAGTAGTCTGACCCCTTAAATACATAGATAATTGACCCGTACTTCTCTTTTCTTAGATCAACATTTGACAAGAGAACGAATTGAAGTGTTCCCACCATCCTCGTTCCCCTCATTTTATTAAACCGACGGGATTTTTATCCACACGACAGGTTCTTCTTCAGGA